GCAGGTATTTTCTGAATGATAATCTTCCCAATCTTGTACTTCTTACAACTATTCCTGCTACTGCCAGAAAATAGGTAACCCTCTGCAACATGTACATTGGAAACACTAGGGGGGGCTGGCAGCGAGGTCTGGAACCGAGTTTACATGATCGCCCCAGTTAAGAAATTCGGCCGAGTGAGACTGAGTACAAATTTTCCTTGAAAACAAATATGGCGGAGAATGCGGACATGGAAGGACGATGAGTTTTTGCTCAGTTTTAAGTTTTCCCGCGCACAAATATCAAGAAAAGGTTTCTATGAACTTTTTTTAATGGACTTTTTGGACATCAGGAGGCGTGATGTATAAACAGTTCATGGGTGACTTCACTTATCGTGATTCGGGATCTCGGCAAGTTCAGTTATAATTTTCGAGCGACCATCTTGCTCTAATTCTTATATTTTTCCACTTACAGTGGTATTAAGACTCTCTTCCTTATCTTAAACACATGCTACGAGCACAATATATAAGTATGAGTCTTGCAACAGTCATATGTGAATTTTCATTAAACCACTGATTTTCTACTTCGCTGTTCGTAAGTTTGTTTGTGTACACCGGGAGGTACAACAAATATTTATGGGCGTAAATACAGACTACAGGGCCAATTTAGTAAAAACCAGGGTAAATATTCCAATCACTTTGTTTCACATATACTGGGTCTGTCAGTATAAGCTATTTTTAATATCAGAAGGCTGGGAGGGGTTTACTGAACCTTCAAAACCTTCACTGGAATGTCATTGGAGTGATAATCAATAAATTTCCAACAGTAAAACCGTATTTAGTAGTTTTGTATTAGATAGTGACTTCGGTTTCAAGTATTTCCTTGCAATTGTTGGTACAAAAATTACCCATTAGTTATGAATTATAATACTTGAAATGATTATAGTGGTTTAGTGTAAGAACAAGAGGCTAATTCAGTTGCTAATAAGAGTGAGTACATCAGGAAAGAGTATGCGTTGAGAAAATCCCTTAAAGGACTGAAGTACAAGAAACAGAAAAAAGAAAACTGAATGTTTTGCAAAGTTTATAAAGAGAATCAGAAGAGGCTTGAAAAATACACAACTTAAGTTTATTGTTTGTGTAAGTTACGAATCTGATTTACAACTAAATTATACAAGGTAAAATTGATTTTTTATCAACCATCAAAAGAAGTTATTGTCGGGCTTGAGCCCTATCCTCTCAGCAGTTCTTTCTATGATACTGCCCTTAGTGTATTTGGTTTAGATGGGTATGTGCTGCTGATTTAGGGTGGTGACCATTTCACCCTTTAGAGTTTTGAACAAGGTGTCTGTTTGGGTTGTGAAGGTTGAAGAAGCAGCGGTCTATAGAGTACAGTCTATTGGTACCACCATTCCCCCAAGTTTTGCCATGTTTCTAAGTTTAAAAGCTACCTTAATTCTGTATGCTAAAGGAAATGAATCAGGATTATAAATAAGGTCTCTTGGCTTATAAAGGGTAGGGAAATGCCCAATGCGTCCTACTACCCATACTCTCTTTCAGTGTAAGCCCAGGGAGGTGATCTCACATTTTAATACCCTTTTACCACTTGTTGTAACAACAAAGTCAGTGAAGGTTTATGGTCTCTGAAAAATAGTTTTGCCAGCCTCAACACAAGTTTCTAACTGTTATTGTTGACTGCAAATAATATTATCTTAATAATCATTTTACATTTTTTTTTCCAAGGCATCGTATGGTGTTTTCAATATCCGCTAGTACAAGGCAATTTTTAAGTTGAGAGGGCTTACTTTGATTTCATTAACAGTAAACTACATTTTTACACAGACACAAACTAACCTGGCAGGTTGATGTCCAAAGGTGTAAAACATTACATTCAATTATATTGCAAAAACTGATCACAGTGGCCAAAGGAAAGGCAAAAATACAAATGTCATCATTTTTTAAATTTTATAAATTCCCTATGAAGCATATTTAGCCAGATGTAGTCCTTGTCAAAACATACAAACTTGAACATTTATTTTCTGACCTTAGCTAATCTTTTTTTAACCATACTCTTGTTCCAGTGGGTAGTGTAGTTTTTGGAAAAAAATATTTACAATTTTTCCCTCTTTGTTTGCAACAAAACAAAACACAATTGAATGAGGACTCAAACTGAAGGCAGTGTAGTAACTGCTTTCATGAAAAGAGAATTCCAAACACACAAAATAATTACGCTTTCATTTGCCTATATCATTTCTTAGAATCTACCGTAAAGTTTAAATTAAGTCACACGAAGATAAGAACTTAAGCATATCAAGAGTGAAATCAATGATCTCTTCGCAAAATTTATTTAGCTTCTTGTACATAAAAAAAATACATGAACTACGAGATTTGACCATCTGCCACTCAATCATCCAAGGCAACTCTGCCAGGATAAGTTCACAATCAAGGATGAAGAATTATGAATCTCAATCATAATTTCTTTTCGTCTTAAAGGTGTAATGAAACCGTAAACAACTCTGACAACTCTTTTACTTGACCACGGCCACCGCGCTTTTTTAAATATCACGAAGGATTAATTTTCGGCCTTTTACTTGAAAATATAAACTCTTCTACATACGCATTGGAGGGTTGGCCCTTCTTCTAGTCTTGTGGGTCTTCTAAACAGAAACACAGCTTGAAAGCCTGTAGTGAGCCAAAAGGTCGGGCATCGAGGAACATGTACAATGACTGTTCACTGGTCGCATCTTAGCGTAGTAAATCGCATGTAATGATAAACGCAAGACCAGAAGAAAGGAAAATGTAAGCTCCACATTACTGCGGAAAAAATCGGTTACAGCAAAGAAAGCAATGACCAACAGGACCAAAAGCGAAACGCCACGAGAAACAAGTCCACGAGAGACGAGCGGCTCAGCGGGAATATCAGTGTTCAACCTGTGGAGAGACATTTCAAAATCTGGCCCCATTTATAGCACATCAGAAAACAGCTCACAGCAAACCCTCTACGACTGCAAAACGTCCACGCCAAGACGACTCAGGTAGGAAGACTCTTTTGCAATACCAAAATAACATTTTGTATAAATTAAATGATAAGTACTATGTAAATTTCCTTCGCAACGCATAATAGATAGTAGGATGTGTTGAAAAAGTGCTTTATCGGCCTTTGTTTACAGTACCTTTTACACAATACCTTGCGGAATATAATGGAGGTTATACATTGTTGAACACTTCTTTTGTCCTTATAACCGTACTTATTAAAGGCTTAAAATGAGGGCCATTTTAACCAGGAATCATCGTGTGGCCTGCATCGAGATCACTCTCCTTTATTGCCAATGTTGTTTTGGAAGACTATGTCTACTCTTAGGTGTGATTTTGGCATGTTAAGCTGAATCTTGCCACCCAAAAACTGCCTAATCTGACGTTTTCAAAATATATTACAAAGGCCTAGACCGGGAGTCAAATGAGAGGTTTTATTAAAAAATAATAATAATAATGAATCAATTGAGTATACACTTTTCGTTGTAATTTAGCAGCCTTTGTTTTTCGAGAAAAAATAAAACTGCGACTTCAAGAAATGTCAGAAGTAACTTCAGAAAACTGTTATTTACAATTATCTTTAATTTTTCATATATTTCGTGTGAGTGTCACCATTTTGTTTTGTAAGCGTGGGGATAACGCGAGCTGAATTTTCCGTAATTTTTTGGTGGTGGCAAGTTCACAACCAATGGAATATAAGGTAACTTTTTTTTTTGACCACATTGGAGATATTCTATTTAGATAGATGTATACCTTTTTTTTTTCTTTCAGAACGAAAAACCAAGAAAATAAAGTCGACCCCTATCGAGAAAAGACAGTCAACTCCAAGTTCTAGTTGGCAGCAAGATACAAGAGCTATCACCGACCTCCCTGAAGCACAACAAAGTCTCGTTCCCGAATACCGCAACCACTGGCATCAAATACGCACTCGTTTTAGCCGCAAAAATCGCCTTTTGGACTGGTACAATTTCCGCCTGTCCTCTCTTCAACCTCAAGAACTTATCACTCATTTGAATGAAATTTTTACTGACCAGTCCACGGTGTTTAAGCTGAATGTGTCTTTTGGTTTCATTCTACGCAACAACGAGACTGGAGCACTTCAATATTATTATGCCTCCAGAAATAATGAGCAAGTCTTTGAAGCGCCTTTTCAAATTACCACCGCAGCTGACCTTCAGCAAGTCCGTGAAGCATTGTTAAACCTTGACGTCTTGGAATGGGTACGCCAGCGACGCCCCAACTCCAAATGGGTCGTAGAACAGGTGACCAATGTAACCTTTTTCGTCACCAAGCTACGGGGTCATCCTATAGGGAGAGGTACTTACTTACCTTCCTATCTGGCCGAGAACCATGGTTTGGTCGCCTTGGATCGCAACCGTAATAATGGAAAAGTCTACAGCGACAATTTGTGCTTTTTTCGGGCTTTGGCACTCCACAATGGTTGTCACCAAAAGAATCTAGAGCGGGATGCACAACATTACTATGAGCGGTATAGGGAATTTTTTCCTGAGAAAAAGAAATTTTTTGGTGTAAAGCTGAAAGAACTGATCGACCTAGAACACCTCTACGAAGTCAACATTTTTGTCTATTCCCTTGAACCCACTAAACCCGATGGAGAGGAGGGAGAAGAAGACATAGAAAAAGAGGAAGAGGATTTCGCTCCTGAGATCGCTGCGCAATTGATTTACCGCTCCCTTTGTCACTACCCAAGTACGCTGCACCTCAACCTGTACCAGAATCACTTTTCCTATATTAAAGATTTAAAGAAGTATGCCAAGTCCTACAGCTGCTCGCGATGTGGAACTTTGTGGAAAGATGGGTTTAAGTTAAATCGTCACGAGCGAACCTGTGAAGCGAAAGTTAGTTACCAGTTTCCAGGAGGTGCTTATAAGACCCCACCAACCATCTTTCAGTTACTTGAAGACGAAGGGTTGACTGTTCCTGAGCATCTCAAGTTCTTCCCCTACAGAGCTACCTTTGACTTTGAGTGTATGTTTACACCTGAGACAGACCTTAATGATACAGAGAAACTGACATGGGACGCTAAACATATACCCCTCAGCGTGAGTGTCTGTTCCAACGTTCCAGACTACGACCAACCCAAGTGCTTTGTGTCAGATGGGAACTCTAAACAGCTCGTCAAAGAGATGTTAGAACACCTCGTAAAAATAAGTGAAAAGAGTTATGACCTGTTAAGAAAAGAGTTTAACTTTCTTTTTGAAGCCATCGACCAAAAGCTGCAAGACCTACAGCAAAAATCAAAAGCTGGTGACCCTTCAAAAACTAACACAGTAGAAAACCTCACCCAGGAAGATAGCGATGATGAAGGAGAAGATCTCATGGACACAGATAATGAAGAGGAAGAAGAAATGGAGTCTGAAACCGAAGAAGATCGTGTCTTTATTGACGATGACGTAGAAAAACAAGGTGCCTCGTTTTACAGGGCCTTAGATCGCGAACACGAGGATCAGAGTGAGAATGATCACGAGTGTGAATATGACAGACCCGAGGACAACAGCCCAGAACCTGAGAAGAAAAAAGTGCATCCTTCAAAGAAACTGAGAGATCGTTTCCAAGAATATCTACAAGAACTTCCTGTCCTGGGCTTCAATTCTGGCAAATATGACTTGAATGCCGTCAAAGAATTTCTGTTTCCTGTCCTGGTCCAGAATGAAGGCGTTCAGTTTACTATCAAGCGTAACCACAATTTCATGTGCCTAAAGACCCCACATCTTCGCTTCCTCGACGTCACCAACTTTCTTGCTCCCGGTTTCAGCTACGACAAGTTTCTGAAGGCCTACGAGTGTCCTCAAACCAAGGGGTTCTTTCCTTATCAATGGCTGGATTCTCTTGAGAAATTAGAACACCCCTCCCTTCCACCTCACGAAGCGTTCTTTTCTACGTTAAAAAACAAGAACATTTCTGACTAAGACTACCAGTACTGCCAACACGTCTGGTCGAACAATAATATGCAGACCTTTCGAGAATTTCTCATCTGGTACAACAACCTAGATGTCCAACCCTTTTGTGAGGCCCTGGAAAAAATGTGCGCCTTCTGGAAAGATAAAAAGATCGACATGTTAAGACAAGGTATTTCTATTCCCGGTGTTACCTTGACGTACCTCTTTACCACCCTGGAATCTGGCATCTTCTTCTCTCTGTTTGACGAAAAAAACAAAGATCTGTACTATCTCTTTAAGAAAAATATGGTGGGTGGCCCTAGTATAATATTTCATCGATATCACGAGGCGGGAAAAACCAAAATCAGAGAAAAAGAAGTGGAGGATCAAGGAAAACAAGCAAAAACCTGTCAAAAGATTGTTGGATACGATGCCAATGCTTTATATCTATGGGCCATCATGCAAGACATGCCCACCGGATCATTTACAAGACGCCGAGAGGAAACTGGCTTCAAGAGAGAAAGTTCTTCCAGGATGGCAACCGAGTGGTTAGAGTGGAAGGCACATGACGGAGGAATTTTTATACGCCACCAAATGAACAATACAGAAAAACGCATTGGTGAAAGAAAAATACCAGTGGATGGTTTTCACGGTCCTTCTCAAACAGTCTTTCAGTTCCACGGCTGCTGGTGGCATGGGCATATCTGTCATCTTACTAAAGGAAAAGAAATGAACGAAAAGAGAAAAAGACCAATGGCGGAGTTACGAGAAGAAACCAAAGAAACCTCCAAGTACATCAAGGATCAGGGGTACCATCTTGTGGAAATCTACGAGTGCCAGTGGCGTCGAATTAAGAAAACCAACTCACAAGTTCAGCAGTTTCTTAACTCCAAGTTTAACCGCCCTCTTGATCATCACAAGACTCTGACACAAGACCAGATCTTAAGCGCAATAAGAAGCGAGTCCCTCTTTGGAGTGGTCGAGTGTGATGTTCGAGTACCTGATGCACTAAAACCCAAGTTTGCAGAAATGTGCCCCATTTTTAAAAACATAGAAATTTCAAGAGAAGATATTGGTCAACACATGCAAACCTTTGCTGAGGAAGAGAACATCATGTCACAACCTCGAAGAAGTCTCGTTGGTAGCTATTTTGGTGAGAAGATCTTATTGGCTTCCCCACTCATTAAGTGGTACTTGGAGCATGGTCTGGAAGTGACTCATATTTATCAAGTAGTAGAGTACACACCCGTTCCCTGTTTCCAACCCTTTGGGCAAGCTGTATCGGATGCTAGACGGGCTGGAGATGTAGACCCAAACAAAGCCATCATCGCAGACACTATGAAATTGGTAAGTTGTTTTCCTATTGAAGTAAAGAAGGAGGAAATACGTTTAAAGGTACAAAAAAAAAAACCTCATATCAATGTTGTCTCTCTCTCTCTCTCTCTTTTTTTTTTTTTTAGGTGGGGGGACTCAAGTTATGGAAAGACGATCACCGATCAAGAACGCCATCGAGAAGTCCAGTTTTGTGAAGAAACCAAAGCGTCCCGCTTAATAAACAAACCCTTCTTTAGACAGATTGAACTGATTGATAAAAATACGTTTGAAGTGCAATCTTGCAAGAAAAAAATCAAGTTGAACCTTCCCATGCAGATAGGTTTTTTCGTTTATCAATACGCTAAACTTAGAATGCTTCAGTTTTATTTTGATTTCATGGATAAGTATCTTGATCGTACTGATTTTCAGTATTGTGAAATGGACACCGACTCTGCCTATATCGCCATCGCAGGGCAATCGGTAGAAAGTTTAGTAAAACCAGAGTTAAGAGGAGAATTTGAAGCAGACAAGGCGAATTGGTTTCCACGAACCGACACTCCAGAACACAAAGCTTATGACAAAAGAACACCAGGTTTATTTAAGGAAGAGTGGACAGGGGCAGGAATAATTGGTCTAAGTAGCAAGACCTACTATTGCTTTGGGGCCTATGATAAGTTCAGTTGTAAAGGGGTTAACAAGAAAACAAACGACATTAACAAAGAAAAATATCTTAATGTTCTGTTGACCAAACAGAGTAGTGCAGGATTAAATAAAGGTTTTCGGGTAGTCAACAATAGCATGTATACTTATGAACAAGTTCGAGATGGGTTTTCCTACTTTTACCCCAAAAGAAAAGTGTTGGAGGATGGAGTTACCACCATGCCTCTAGATATATAAAATTGTGTTGTAAATTGATTGCTGTATTAAAAAAATGAGTATCAAAAAAATTGTAACGTGTGTGATTCATAAATAAAACGATTTATAAAAAACAAAAAAACGCGTTTCTTGTAATTCTCTGACTTAAGGCGCGAGTGTGTTCCCACGCACAACTTCCCCACGCGACCTTCTCGCGTGTTCCTGAGAAAAAAAAAAACGCTTGATTTCTGCCCTTTATGCCCTTGGTGCCCGTTGTGCCCTGGAAAATAAACGATAAATTTCGTGTCGCAAAATAGATTTGTTCAGTTTTAAGTCTGCTTTCATACCGTTAACATGAAAAAACTAAAATGCAAGCATTGTCCTGTTCCCGGCTGTGGGTCAAAATTTTTAGTTCGATTAGCAAACCATTTGGCTCAGGTACACGAGCTGTCTAACTTAGAGAGAAAATATTTGCTCCAGTTTGCTAAATTACAAAATACCAACATGATTCGTGTATATGATAAAGATACTCCACCAAAGACCATTTCTCTATAAATAAGAGCAAACGCAGTTGAACCAGTCAGTTGTCAACATGGACCCAAAGTGGAAACACCCCTTTCCTGCTATTGTAGCTGGCCCCACTTGTTGTGGAAAAAGTCAGTTTGTCAAACACCTGTTGGAATCTGGAGAAGAATTAATAGACGGAGCTCCTGAAAATATCATTTGGTGTTATGGGATATACCAACCGGCTTACGATGAGATGCTAAGGACTATTCCCAACATCACGTTCGTCGAAGGAGTTCCTGGTGATTTAGAATCCATGATAAACCCAACCATTCGAAATTTAGTGGTCATTGACGATTTAATGCAGGAGCTTAGCAATGATCAAAGAATTACCAATTTGTTTACTAAGGGCTGTCATCACCGAAATTTAAGCGTTATTTTCATTCTTCAAAATATTTTTCACCGGGGAAAAGAACTGAGAGACATGAGTTTGAATTGCCATTATTTGGTGATGTTCAAGTCTCCGCGAGATAGCAGTCAAGTCAGTCACTTGGCGAAACAGATGTTTCCCGGTCATGTCAAATACATGCAAGAAGCGTTTCAGGATGCGACAAAACGCCCTTATGGCTACCTGTTATGCGACCTCAAACCGGAAACGCCTACCGACTTCCGATTGCGCACAAGCATTTTCCCTGGAGAGACTCAGCTCGCCTATGTCAGAAAGGTATAAAAAAGCTCCATCGTAGTGATTGATATCAGTTGAGTATGGCCCAGCGACTAAGAAAGAACCACGATTTTCTTAAGCTCCTCGTCAAGTGTACCCCAGCTCAACGTAAAGCAATTTTGAAAGCAGCCGACGACGCTTTAGTAAGAACCATTTGTGAGTGTGTATTCAACGTACTTAAAGAAACAGTCCCTGTCAGTAAACCGGCAAAGAAAAAACTTCTTAAGCACAAGAAAGCCTTGACTGCTTTAGCTGAAAAGAGTACCCCGCTAAACAAGAAAAAGCAAATCTTGGTACAACACGGAGGAAACTTTTTAAGTGTTTTGCTACCTCCCGTTCTTCGGGTGTTGAGCTCGCTTCTTAATTAAGATGAATCATACAAGACGCATGGTTCTCGTTCCTGAGAACACTCTGGAGCGATTGCAGCAACGTCAGCAGATATTAACACCACCTGTAACACAAACTCTGAAAAATCTGGATAGCCAAATGGGGGATATTTTAGAAAATAAACAGCTTGATGATGAGGAAAAGGCGAAGCTTTACAATCAGGTGTTGCAACGGTACTTGACTTATTACGATCAGCGGAAAGGCCAGCCTCTCCATGTGAAGTTAATGACCCTTAAAACAACAGAAACCTCCAAACCAGTTGAGAACGCAGAATCTACAGAGGAAGCTTCTCCAGATAATTCTCTTCCAACAGCAGTAGAGCTAGAGGTCCTGCGAAGTGTACCGAAAATGTACAAAGCTGGGGCTAGACAGTTGTTGGATAAAATTAAAAAACACCAGGATGTGTTACATTGGAATGATAAAGGAGAGCTGTTGTATGAAAACAAACCAATCCCAGGTTCTCATGTGGTCGACCTAGTCAACGACACATTGCGTCACCGAAAAGGATTTGAACCAGTGAGGTGGTCCGTGTTTGCGAGGGGCCTAGCGCGAGTGAATGTCCCCGAAAACTTGGTTCGTAATCCCCAACGTCAGAGTGCCATAAGAGAGTTTAAAGCAAGAGTGAGAGAGGAGACCCCAGAAAGTCCTTCGCGTTGGCTACCCACCCCACCTGTGACGTTATCTTCTGTCAAAAAGCAGAGGCGCAGAGTCGAGAGTCCTCGCCCTCAGGCTGTTCGATGGTTACGATTATAAATCATGACAAGAGACTTTTTTTTTTTGTGAAACACAAATCTTTATTTTGCTCATTCAATAAAATGTGTTGAAAAGAAATTACATAGTGTCTGTTTACTGAACTTAGTGTTGTGCTTTTGCTCTTTGCATGTTTACATCAGTACGATATTTCGGAAAACTTATAGGAAAATGTTTTTCAATAAATCGTTTTACAAGACTATCATTTTTACTTGTGTCTTTAGAAAAACGATGGACAATAGTACTCATACTTATTTGCCGACTACGATATAAAGCAAAATACAAACAGTAATGTCCGCAGACTTTTGAATAGATGCTTTGTAATGTCACAGTATTAAAAGTCCACTGGTTAGAATTGTTGTTTAAAAAGGTAGTAAATGTTCCTGAGTATCTGCTGGGTGGTGATCCGTAAGAATCGAAAAATTCTCCCTCTTGCTCCTTGGTGAAATAAAACGCCACCCAATGCGAACCTGGCTTGTCACTCGTATCCACATTGGCGATAAACAGGGCTGGGTAATGTGAAACACTGGCAGGCAGCAGGTTTGAGGGATACACGCCTTGAAACACACCTCGTGTAAATTTATCCTTTCTCAAAATAAGGGTCAGTTGAGTAGTGTCCATTTTTAGTTTGTATAGTCGAACAACACGTTGCGGTTCCCGTCAACTTCAATCAAGTTTTGGAATTCAGCGTACACGATAAGGTTAACCGTATTGGCCAGTGGTTCCTTGAAATGAAGCTCAGCGCGCAGGTTACCTTGCTTTATTAGCTCAAAATGGTCACCTGAGCAGTGGTCTGGGGACAAGTCAAAGCAGAATGCTGTGTAACCAGAGCCATAATCGCCTCTACTGATCCGATTACCCGCATCTTGGGATAACTTTCCAGTACCTGAGAACAGACTTTGATAGCCCGCTATTACATTTTGACCTCCAGCTTCGTCAAAATTCAAGAACAGCGGTTTCCGAGGAATTTGCTCTCCGTCGACATAGACACCCACTTGAGTTAGATTGTGGTGTTTGAAGTTGAACGGGTTGGTACTGTAAGTTCCATTATATGCCTGAGTATCCACTAAGACCAGCACGATTCGTTTGGGGATGTGACCCAAAAAGATGTTGTCGGGGTTAAAACTGCTAAATCCTCTTGGAATAGACAGCACTTTACAATCTATTCGGCGAACCGGGTACTTGGCGCTGGAGTGTTTTAGTGCAGCAGCATGGCCAAGTATAATAGAAGAGGCCAATTTCACCTTGCGAACGAACAAGATGGCTTCTGTGATTACCACCTTGAAAGTTGGAGCGGCTGCTGATGACATCAGACAAAACGAGTTCTCGGCTCGGTTCAGTTTGATTCTTAAATTCACTCCATTTAGCATCAACCGGTCTTGAAAGAAAATGTCGCTATGAATGGGCCCCATCATATCCACAATATGACTTTCTTTAGTGAAATCATAGCGAACCTTTAACCCCTTGTTTGCGGCATCGTCTGCAGCCACAGGGTTGGCAACATCCATTTTTCCAGGGGTATCTTTGTAAAACATGGCCATAGAAAGTTGACTTGTTTTTGCTTCTTCTCCGTAGTTTAGCAAGGTTTCTATCATGGCGCGATAAGGGTAGGTATTGGTGGATGGAGAGATCAATCGCTCGTTCAAGGAAACGTCCACTTGCGAAAACAGGGAATGTAAAAACAGGTTCACGGGACCTACTTGTGTATCGGCATCTATGGCGGTTCCATTTGCTTTTGTGATCTTGGCTTTCACAAATAACTGAGTACGCGCCAAGTCCAAATACTCATCTCCGGTTCCCGAAACATAAAATTCGATCGGACCACTGTCCGTGATGTTACTGATGGGGTGGTACTCGATCCATTGCCCTTTGGTGATAGAGGTTTGTGTTGCAGGAATCGCAAAGAGATCCAACTCCGATTTCGTACATTCCTGAGACTCGTGATGCACAAAGGCCATAGTTACTTCCAGAAAGAAAATTTCTCTTTGGGCTTCTTTTGTTGCGGAGATGTTTTTGCTTTCTTGCCTGGAGGCGAACTGATTTTGGTTCCTTGCGCTTTCCTTTTTATAGATTTTTTGCCAGCTCCTGATTGTTCCTGCAATGAATTCTGGGAGGGTAGACCGAGGGCTTGTTTCGTGCGCTTGTGGACTGCTGTTTTAACGTTATCTCCATCAAGAACATCTTGGACAACATTGACTCCTGTTTGTAAAGCCTTTTTTCCAATCACCTTAGCACCCTGTTGAAGGTGAGGCATCGCCCAGCGAAACAGGCCTCTGAATATGGACCCTAGTCCATAACCCCGCTGAAATCGAGCACCGTGAAACGCTGGTAAACTCCCACCTTTTTGTTTAGCTTGATTAACGTAGTACTGTTCGTACAAATTGTGATTTGGAGTGTGGAGTTTTTTCATCTTAAAAGTACTGAGGTGCACTTTGACGAAAATGAAGTGTTAACAGCACTCTCCCAAACTCAAATGGTACAGACTCCCCTGTGTCTGTCTTTATATCGACTTCGACGGTTTCAAATTGCTTTCTGCTGACAGGTAAATATTGGGGGCGCAAAAACGATTTACTGACCCGCTCCCCGACCTTTCCTTCTACAGGAACAATTCGAAGCAAAGGTACCAATGCATCTCCAACATATTGTGACTGAATAAGATCACAGTAAATGAAAAGGTCGTGAAAGCCATACTCCAAATCCACTTGTCTTTCAGCGGTAGAGGTATTAGAAATAATTTTTTCTGGTGAAAATCCCAGCAGGTATCCAATGTTACCAAAGAAAAGTTCTACGTTATTTTGTAGGTGAATAGTCACCTTTCTAGTGAACTTATCGTAGGAAAATGTTACATCGTCATTGAAACGCTTTACATTCTCGATCAGCCCTTTCATCTTTGATAAGATATCTTCAACGGAAGAATAATGACCCGGTGGTATAATTAGGACCTCCCATACTCCGGACAATTCTTGGTTCCGAAGGAAGAATCGATTACCAAAATTTCCTTGGACATTATTCCAGCTGTGAGGATAATGAATTTCTGTTAACGCTACTTCCCAGTCCCCCGGCAAGCTAACGGCTTGAGGTAAACCAACATGGTACTCCGTTAATGTGTTGTTGGGAAACTTATCGAGGCTGCTATTGCTTGGAAGATGCAGGTAAAACTGTGTTACCTCCATCGTTTCGTGTGTTCAAATGAACATTTATTCCTGGCGTTCTTAATTTATAACTATACACAACAACATTTGTTTTCAGTTAAAATAACCCTTTTATTGGCTTCACACAAAATGTCACAACTTTGAGATATTACTTTCTGCTATCCAGCTATTAAACTTGTCTGGGTACCCTTTCCATTTTACAAAGTATTCAACTATTCCTTTACGCTTTCGCGTGCGCAAAATCTTTTCAACGCGGTACACATCATCGTTCTTAATTATTTTCTGTAATTCGGGTTCATAAAACGTTCCATCTAAGATTTCACCTGCATCATCCTTTAGTTTGTAAACGGGTACTTGACGCGCCATTCGTTTGTATACAGTAAACATTTCTTCCGTGAAATTAGGCAGGTAAGATTTTTCAAACATTCGCTTCACTTTGCTGATCCTAACACGATCTCCCACTTGAAATTTAAAACGCACGCGCTTTTCAACGTCATTACCATACAAAGTATCCCACACTTTAGTTTCATTCGCTTTAGTCACCTCACTCGGTTTCATTTTAATACTTCGGTGGTAAGTGTTATTGTAAGAGGATACTAGTTGGGGTAGTACATTGATATAGGTGAGAGTGTTTTTAGCTGTGAAATATTTGTACATCTTATTTTTAAATGTTTTGTTAAAACGCTCAACTACTGAGGCCTTGAGCCCAGAGTTTACAGTAAAAAAGTCAATGCTGTGGTCACGCAGATAAGTCTGAAACACTCGATTAAGAAACTCTGTTCCTAGATCCGTTTGCAGTTTGCTGGGTTTGCGACCAGTAGAAAGGATCTTTTGAAAGGCTTTGACCAGTTCTTGACCTTGTTTTGACTTCAAAGGCAGCACCCACGCATACTTGCTGAAGATATCTATACAAGTCAGTAAGTATTTATAGCCCTTGTTGTAGCGACTGAGATTTTGAAGATCGACCAAATCTGCTTGAAACTGGGCATCTATTCCAGGAACGATGACTCGGCTTCTCTTGTAGCGTCTTCGCGCGGGTTTGTGAAGAGTATAAACATCCTGCTGACTCAACCAATCTCGGACTTGTTTACGCGATATCTTGTTCTTTCCTTTCTCTTTGACTGCTCTGTAAACAGCATCTAAACCACCGAAACTTGCGGGTTGACTTGGGTCGAGGTAGATGCTGGTTAGTTTTTTCTCCATCACAAAATTCCGAGTTTTGTACAACCACTTTACCACCGCAGCAAGCTAATACACAACGTATGCGATTGAAAATGTGTTCAAAACCAAAAGTGGATGATGGCGGACAACAACCCATCACTAGTGTTTATCTGAACGGTAAAAGATGTAATGACTTCTCTCTCCCTGGTGCTCCTTTATATAGGTACTGTGGAATCTGGGTGAGAGTGGGAACAAGAAGATGAAATAGTAGTTCCCATTCCTCCTCAGTTAATCCCAGCTGATCCGCGAAGTTCAAAAATACTACTAATCGTCCCCAGTTCACTTTGGAAAAGAGTTCAGAATGGAGTTGCTTTAATTTTTCGAGATTTGAGCCCTGTAGTTTAAAAAAGTTTTCTTTAAGCTTTTCCATTGCACTTGTAGATATTGTTAAATTTTTTGCTGTTAAGCGGTACCAAGAAAACTTGACCCGAAGCAAAGAGAGAGAAAGACCCATCTTAACTAAGATAAGGACAAACAAACACTGACGCAAAATCAAAAGATCAACTCATTTTATTACGTTTACAAACAAAGCTTGTTTTGAATGTCATTAATTACAGTGTCAATTTCCATTGGCTCTTCGTCTTTTCTCACTACTTGTTCAGGGCATTCTATTTCTGCTTTTTGGTCGCT